CAGCAGCTCCATCACTATTGTAAAATACACCCTGCAAGAGAGCAGCTGTGGGATTTTAAATCAACCAAATCAAATTACCTCTCCCACAAGAGTGCTGTGATTTGTACTCACGTCAGTGATCCTGCACAGAGCTCGGATGGCCGGGCCTCGATAGACATCCTCCTTGCCYGTCATGTCTTTGGTCAAACTGAAATCACCAAAAAAATCCTGTGAGCACTTCTTAAACATCCTCACATCTTAATCTTTATGTGACATTCACCTCATTTAGCTGTCACCAATAACTGCTGTAGTTCTGGCTAGGAACAACTTAATAATCAGCTTAATCTGAGAGTTATTAACATCAAAATCTGGGGAAATAGCTAAAAAATGCACAGTTCATTGTATTGCTTTGCCATGGGTCTGGTTTGTTGAGTTCATTCTCTTTCTTGGTGGTGCTGTTATGAAATTTTGATTTAGAAATAGTGAACAGAGTTCAGTTTGGCTCATTTTCTGTATTTCTAAAGTTACTCAGCAATCGTTTGGTGCACACCACAGATCCAGTTTTTGCTCTTGCAACAGCTGCAAATGTCTGCTTTTGTGGTTAAAAAAATTTCAGAGWTCAGTTGGAAGAATTAACTGGGCTTTGCTATAATGAAGTCACAGCCTAAATCCTGACAAATCTATGGAGGACAATTAAATTTAAAACATTTTAATTTAAATAATGAAACAATTTAACAGAACGACTCCAAAACACAAGAAAACAAAGTAATGAGTGTTTCATAAAGGATTCTCCCTCAAAGTGGGAACAAAATAACCTTTCAGAGGGTGGCCTATACTCTGTATCACAGAACTGTTGTAATCTCATAAAATCTCAACACTGTAGCAGCTCAAAAAAAGCCAAGGAGATGCAGATTCTTTTCCAGAGCCCTGATCCTGGTGTGTCCCACCTGCTGGTGACAATGATGACATCCTCGGAGATATTGGCCATCTCTTTGATTGTGAGGTAACACATTCTCCTGAGGGTTTGCTGTGGAAATGTGTTGCAGAGAAAGATTAAACTCAACAGCAATTAGAAGCTTTAAAGATTAAATAAACGTAAAAAATTAAAGATGTGACTTTAAAAGAGAAACTTTCAAACAAAACATATTCTCTCCTATTCAAATTAATAAGTTAYAGAAGTAATAAGTAATATAATTATAATTAATAAGTGTAAAAGTACATTTGATAACTGGATAAYAGCCTCACTCCTTGATATCAAACAAAGCAAAATAACACATAAATATCCTGGAAAATTAAAAGAATTAATATAAAAATCCATATTTTAATCATGAAAGAAGTGATGCACCATATCTGTGCTCAGAAGCATCACAATTATCAGTTAAAAGCTTTAAAAATAATTTTTTTATTGTAAAAAAAAACCCCAGAAATGCACATGGAGTGTTGATATTAAGTCTTTGAAAGTAATTGACATTTATATTTAAAAAAAACCCTCTGGTTTTTTAAAATGTGGGTAAGAGAAATATTGCAAACAGTCTGTACTTCCAAAAATTTTGCTCCATCTTTAAACAGTTGAAACCTTCCTTGGACAAAKCTCTAAACCCAACCACTTTTAACCAAAATTAATGAGCCCATCACAAGAAAAACACTGCTCTGAGTTTACACTCTTCAAAAAAAAAATCACAGAAGGAATTTTACATTCTGCTGAATTCCAGCCCAAACCATTCCAGGATTTTTAGGGATTTTTCCTCCCTTGCCTTGAGATCAATGCTGATCCATGAACAGAAGTTGTTCTAGGCAACAGCAGCCTTTGATCTGCAGGCAACTTTTAAATTCTATTTTGAGTCAAGCAGATGGGGATTTGCAAGTGGAGGCAACAATYATCAAGTGACACTGATTTGCATATTCAGGCTTTGTTATTATCCCTGATTTTACACAATAATTAACTCAGAACCCACGTCCACCCCCAAACCAACCCACAGAAGTAACCACAAGTTATTATTATTCACTCATTTGTTTCCAAACCACAAATTGCCTCCAGAATTCCTCCCACATCCCAAAATCCAAGKGATCCAAGTTCCTGCAAGTCCAGACAAAAGCAGGGAGGGGCAAAACACCRGGTACTCACATCATTAGACTGAAACAATCTGGTCATGGCAAAAAAAGCTTCTGTGGCTTCCATGGTTCCAAAATGTTCACCCTGGAATTAACAGAGAGGAAAAGCAGTCATTATTCAGCTCCTTTTTCTAATTCCCTCCCACACACCAGGAATCTTTCCTTGGAGGCTTTCTTGTGTTAAAAACCATCCCTTCTTCACTTTCTTTCTCAGGGAATACACAATTATCTCCACTCTAAATGCCATGCACAGGGATGAAATGGTTYCCCAAGCAGTTTTCCCTGTGACAGGAGGAGGTGGAAAACTTCTTCTTCCCCTCTAAAAACTAAAAAACAGGAATATTCATTTTGGATGGAGAGAGATTTTACCTGGTTCAGCAGGTACAGGATCTTGGTGAGGATGTGAAGGCATCTTCGTGGATTTATAGGGGTCTCATTGAAGAGCCGTGCCTTTAAACACAACAGAAATTCTGCTTTAATATAACCCAAAAATAATTATTTCTCTTTCAACAGCAAAATTAAACTAATTTATTCCCAGCCAAGCAGTAATTTTCTAATTTTTATTTGGACTAAATAAGAGAGAGAATGTATTCTTGCATCTCCAATTTGCAGCAAAACACAAACAACTCAATTTGCCATCTGGAAGAAGCAAAAATAACTCAAAATAAAACCTTTTTTCTTCAGGAAGAGCGCCCTGAGATGCCACATATAGAGGGCAAAAGCCATGTGACATCTAATTAACCTAAATAAAACCCTCATTAGCTGTAGATAAATAAAATTTACTTAGAACCTCTGTGTTTTTAAATTAATTATATGAACTTAGCCATTCACATTTCCCCACAATCATTCTGCAACATTTCCTGAAGGAAAAAAGAAATATTTAAACAACATTATCCTGTGATTATTCCTACCTCCTGAAGCACAGCACTCTTCTCCAGATGCTGGAAAGGATTGGAGCCACTGCCTGAGGAAAAAGAGAGACCTCTCAGTCRAGGAAATTAATTCACCAAAAACAAATCTGAATGGGCAGGAACAGCCCCAAAATTTTACCAAACCACCTCGATACTCCTCTTTGAAAAACTGATGTTGGCCATCAACAACTTCCAATCCATTTTCTTTAGTGGTATATTCAAAGTTATAGAAAGAATGAATGAAAAAAAAAAAAGGAATTGAAGAAGAAAATTGTTGGTGGCTTAATTTGACTTTACATAAAATTATTTTTCTTTCTTCCTAATCCACTTATTTTTATTCCTTCAGGCACCAAAAGCACTGAAGACATCAAGACCTGAAACAGAACTGAAACCACCTCTCTGACACATAAATCCTTCCACACCCTCAGTTCTGCTCCTGATCCTTTTCCCCAGCAGGAATTCCTCATTTCCAYTCCACTTATTCTTCAGTTCTCACATCCCAAGCAGAAGGAAACTGAGAATGGAACAGAAATCAGCCCAGCTGAGCACATTGGGAGCTCAGTGCAGCAGCACAGAAAATTCAAGGCAATATCAGTTATTAAAGGGAACATGGATTGAATTTCCAAACCACAGGAAGGGATTTTCCAGGGACAACTTCCACTATCCCAGGGTGCTCCAGACCCTGTTCAAACACAGACACTTCCAGGGATTCAGGGCAGCCATATCTGCTCTGGACAACAAAATTTTCCCCTGWGCACAGGGAGATGGGATTAGAGGTTGCCTAAACTCCTTATTGTGAATTCCAGAAGTGCAGGCACAGTCCAGACAGAGAAGGTCTGGAAAGGCTTCTCTGAAGCCTTTTGGACTTTGCTCCTTGTAACAAAATGACTTTAAAAAAAATATTTTTTGTCTTTACGTATATCACCACATTGTTCAGGTAGTGATATAAATACATGTAATCAATTTTCTCTTCTCCTTTGACAGATGAAATATCTACACTGAGCAGACATGGGGATAAAATCCTCTCCAGGAGCCAGCTCTGAGAACAGAGCCCAGTTCCTTTGGATTTATCTGCAGAGGAGAAAAGGACTTTGATGGTAAGTTCTTACAGCTGAAGCTCAAACCTGGAAGATCAGAGCATCRTGGAATGGTTTGGGCTGGAACTGAATTTAAGGATTGTTCA